GAATATGCTAAAGTCCTGAAAGCATCCATACACAGTCTGAAAGCATGCATAAAGCAGTGAAATATGTTAATTTAAAATTTATATAATGCAAATAGAGAAAAAAAAAGAATATGAAGAGCAAATGCCAGGCATCAGCAAAGTTTAAGATTCTACAAATAGATTAGGCTGTATAAGCCCTTCAGGATGAAAGGGCAACTGTATTTTAGATCGAAAGGCTGAATATTCTACACTTGTTTGTTTTTTTTTTTAAACTTCAGGAAGACAAAGCATAAATGGTCAAAGAAATGTCAGTTAAAATTCCATTTTAAATTGTAACAAATATGGCTAAGAATTTACAAGTCTCAGTATTAGCCAGTAACTCCTACTATTCTGTCCTTTCTATGCAGCTAATTTGCCCAAACGGTATTTAAAAACAAAATACTACAATGATAAATAAACCACTTTTAGGTTCAGTTGCAAACAGTTTCAAATTTTCCAAAAGTAACTTGTGTAAATTTGCCTGTGCAAGACAAATATGTGACCCTCGGTTTTATCAACATAGTAGCTACAATTATATTAACACATTCAGCATTCTGAGCTCATGCAGAGCTGTCTACTGTTATGTTATTTTAATGCTCAATTTCAATACTGTCAAGCAACATAAAAATGAAATAGTAAGTATTTTATTTGTATTTATTGTTGAATAAGTAGGCACAATAATCTGGGAAGTCAAATTAAGTGCGTATTTAACTTGTACCTCTGCATCCACAGACTTTATTTGCCTTTCATCTAGGACTAAATATTCTCAGGATTTAAACCAACATTATACTTGAAGTCAGTAATTTTTCAGATTTATGGAAGCTTGATGTTTGCCTAGAGCTATTTAGTCATAATCTCAGATGTAAAAACTCTGAATTCCTTAGCATCTTATGGATGCAGCTAGAAGTGAGACAGAATTACATGAAAAAGAAAAACAAAACACCACCACCACCAAACAAACAAAAAACCCCCCGACCCAACAACAAAAAAAACCTAAAATCTGTTACATGGCCTCTAAAACAGCCTACTGACCTATATGCATATTGCAAGTCAAGATCCTTCATCACCCTGTACATATACATTTTTGGGGAGCTAAGGAATTTGTGCACTAATAGAAAATGACAGTTGAAAAGAAGAATCTATCAGACTGTGTTTGCATGATTATTTGTATCTTCATGAACTGCAAACCAAATCAGTTCTACTGTTTACTAGGAATGGAAATCAAACACTAGCTCCTAGAAAGGCCAGCATTTAAATAAATGGAAGAAATGGAATTTCTTAAAACAAATGTAGTTGTTCAGTGTATCAAGCGTAACATTTGCATCAATCTCCAAACTGTTTATTTTTGGCACGTCAAATGTGTTTTGGACATGACTGTTGAATTTTATTTTGGAGCAAGACCAAACAATTTAGCATGAATCTTGATTAAGCTTGGAGTAACTAGGAACTACTCTGGTTTCTTCCTTTCCTGATAAGCAGAATCCAGATATATCCTGTTGGTTATTTTAACTGAATACTTAACTTAAACTTGCCAATTAGTCATTGCCTAATTGTGCTGGAACCAACTACATTTTAACAACTTAAAGTGGTGTTCTGCAACTACTAAGTGATGCTATATTTTCACATGAAATGTTATTCAAATGCATTTAGGGTTCATGTCTAAATCAGCAGATATAATCTATAATTATTAGAACAGTAGTATCTGACATAGATACACAGTAAAGAATGTACTTAACCATAAAACTATGTTAGAAAGATGACCTTAGGCCAAAAATACAAATTTTACTGAGGCAAATGCATTGCCAAGATGGTATCACACTGTATTCAGAGAAGAATACAAATTTAGGTTCTGTTTGTGCATGACAAGGAAGATATTTTTTATGAAGATTCAAAATTGTGTTTAATAAAATAATAATCCAAATCTTTCCAGGATGAATGATTATAGCGTGATGTGTTTTCAAACCTATTTGGGAAGAAGTAACTTTGCTTCCTGTATTAAAACTACAGCTTCTTAAAATAAATTATAAAAAAAAGGTCTAAGAACTCAGAACTATATTTTTTGCGATCAGGGCCTAGATCTGAATGCCAAATTAGACTAGCCTAGTTGCAAACAACAAAGCTGGCAAACCTTCTCCAGTCCTTCTTGATACTAAGCTTTACTACATAAAGCCATATGAATGTATCCCATGGCCGACTGTGGTACAGCATGGCAAACTGTTGGAGGAACGTTCCCACAGCACTGAGAAAGAAGCTGTCTACATCCAAGCGCATTTCTGCGGTTACAGAAAAACACAGAACTACACATCCTTATCTGATTTTGTGTGTTTCTGCAGCATTAAAACCACAGAGTTATTAAACCCAAAGCAATTTAAACATGAGTCTAAATCCAGATTTAAGCAGTGTTAGTTAGTTTGGACAGAGGGAATCACAGAACTGAGTTATATTCCTGACTCCAGATGTAATCAAACAGCAAATGTAGTGAAACCTGAATGCAGGTCAAGTTCTGTGAGGCACCTGAGATGTCAAAATTAAGGGTGTAATTCCCCTTGGGAAATCCATATTTGGGATTAACTTTTCTCTGAAAGTGTCTCTCTTCCTTGATTTTTAGGGTGACAGTATTCCTAACTTCAACCTGACGGCTATGTTTTTGAGCTGAATGTGTGCTTGGTTCAAGGTTTTATAGAACCTATGGACATCCAGAAAGCTTAAACAAACTTGTTTAGAAGGACCAAGTATAGCTTTTAGATACCTTTAGGTAAGGTAGTCTTACATACTTTGAAATATTTATATTTCTGTTATGGCCAAAACTTGGCTACAAAAATTACCTGCACTACTACAATACTTTTTACAATTGTCTAAGTTGTTCACAAAGTAAACTGGAGTGACTTAAACCAACGTAAGTTTGCATTTTCAATTCAGTCAAAATCTCTATACAGAGGGCTTAAAAGAATATTCCACAAGCATTGCCTGTAGCAGACATGATTAAATAAGAATTTTCAGTTACATTCACGTAAACCCTTCCATTTACATTCAGAGCAGGTGTACTCAACAGTTTTGTTAACACAAACTTATCTTAGCCTACAGTAAATGTGTGCATATCCTTTTAATATATAATATAATTTTATCATCTCTTAGATGATAAAATTGTAGGCAGTATTTTCCGTGGATGACTTCTGTGATTTTATCAGAATATTAAAGATAAATCTGCTCAGATCCCCACCTTCCTATATTTTCCTTTATGTCATAAGTTGGTTTAGAAGTTTAAAATTCTTCTAAGTCTATGCCACTGCCATTACATTGAGTTCAAACACTCTATCCCACTAAACTCCCCAGTGTTTGCCTTGCCTACATGATGACAGTTTGTCTTGAGACTGGAGAGAAAAGGCAAGAAAACCCAAACAAGGAAAAGGATCAGGAGACAGGAGAGGTTCATTAATATTTAGCCCATGGGAGGCCATCACTGCTCACCAATGTGAGCTAAAATAATTAAAAAAAAAAAAAACAAACAAAAAACCCCCATCAAATTAATTTAGTGATTTACTTATACTCTGTCTTTGAAGTATTTATTGGTATGACAGTGGAGAGCTGAGTCAGTAAGAAAAAATGAAAGAAATAGAAGGTAAAATTAACATACTACAGCACCCTTTGATGTAGAGTAGTCAAATGAGTTGGTCTGGATTCCTTTTCATCTATTTTTTAAAAAATCACAAGCTAATCTCGATGAAATCAGATTCACTTAATCTCTTTCGGCATAATTTATCATGCAAGGCATTTCTTTTTCAGATGTTAACAATTTTAGAGTCCTGTAAGCTGTTCTATTTAACAAAAAATTGAGTTAACAGTGAAATATTATAAGGTTCATCCCACATGTTTAAGTGGGCATGCACATTAAACTATATATCAGAGCGAATTAAGGATTTGATCTTACTTTTCTGATGTAGCCAAGAGATATGCTTTTGATGCCTGGAAATGCATAATCAAGCCTTAATTTCTCATTCTCCCTCATATTTCAGTTGTCTTCATAGCTTTGAGACAGTTGAGAAGTGCTTTAATATTGATTTACTGAAAACCAATATTAAGAACAATAAAACCAAGACACGGGAAAAAATGAAAAGAAATACACTTCACTATTAAAATAATACAATGAATACTCCTCCTGAAAATAGACTCATTAACTTAATTTCTAATTAACTATCACTGAAAACAAAAAGACGTTGAACTGCAACATTTTTTAAATATCTTCAACAACACTTATCTAGAAATGAACTTTTGTCATTCCTTTTCTTACTGTGTCTCCTGAAATAAACTTTCTCCAATAGGACTGATACCAGTTCTGTTAATGACCTTGCCTTCTGCTTTCAGATTTGCTTTCTTAGCACAGAGTCATTGTCTCCCACGTTGCCTGGTTGGGAGACCACACTTAATATAATTCCACTCTAGGCTCCCACTGGAAAGAATGAACAAAAGAGAACTGGAAAGTGAGTGCAAGTAAAATGCTTCTGTCTTTCTGCAGAGCACAGGAAGTGTTGGTAAGTTATCTTATTGAGTGAAATTCTGGCTGCACTGAAGTTAGCGTATACTTTGCTATAAACTTCATCTGGACAAGAAATTCACACCTGGTTCCTATGACCTCTCTTTAGCTGCTGTGAGCTAGCAATATCAGAGACTTCAGTCAAGCCAAGAATTCACTCTAAGCAGAAAGTATTACCAACACTTCCTGTCATCTTCAGGGAGAAGACAGTTAAGAAATAAATACACCAGAATGATAATGCTTGCCAGAAAGGCTTTTGTGGAGCCTAGGTTGTGTTGTGTTTAGCAGTAATAGTGCAATTTGAACAATAACAAAAGACAACAAAACTTTGTGACCCAGAGACTGGAAAAAAATATTACTTAGAAGCTTAGATTTCACGAGCTTCTCATCTGGATTACAACAGAGTTTGTAATGGCATGCTGTGGTTAATATTTTTTTTTTTTTTGTAGCAGTAGTAGTAGGGTTAAGGGTCTTCCTTCTGTTTTGCTTTACCATCCCTTTCCACCCTTCCAGCTCTCATTGTGTGATTCCCTATTTTCCTCTCCTGCACTGGCTGGCAGAGTTCCTGATCTGGAATGTCCAGACAGACCACTAGTGACCTAGTCAGCCACCTAAGGGTTAATTAACATTTTTCCAGCTGTAATGGAAAGATAGCTAAATGAGACAAAAAAACCCAAAGAAATAAACAAACACACAAACAAAACAACCCAAAACCAAATTAACAAGAAGAAAACCTTGCCCTTTTTTCAGTACATTTTGAATGAGGCTTTGTTATTGACACTGTTTTTTCAAAGCTGTGTTTTCAATCTCTGCACCTGACTGCATGCTGGCCAAGTTCTTGAAATGAAGGTACCTGCATACTACTCTGGAATTTATGGAATTAAAATATTCCTCATATCTAAAATTAGACTTCATAGAAGTTTTAACAAAGTAACTCTCTAAATAGAGGCAGCTCAGCTGTATTAGGCAAAACTGTTTAAACAAAAAGGTTTGAAAACATATCTACTCACTGTCCACTGTACTGTTGCAGGGTCTTTCCAACCCATTGTCATAAAAATCTTGCAGCTTTCTATTGCTACTTATGTTTCAGAGCCCAGCATGTCTCTCAAAAAGTCTTTTTCTAACTATTATCACTGAGGCTTGGGCTAGGATCTGATATCTGCTGCAAGAAGCTTTCCTTGACTATAGCTTTATGCTTCTTGGTTTCCTGTCCCTGTTCCAACCTTACACTGTTGAAGCTTCTCATAGAATGGTTGAGGTTGCAAGGGACATCTGGATATCATCTGGTCCAACTCCTCTGCTCAAACAGTGCCACCTACAGCCAGTTGCCCAGGACCATGTCCAGAGGAGATGTTTTCTACCTACACACACTAAACTACTTCCAGAGAAGATTCTGTTATCCCTCAGAACACAGCAGAGGGTCCTGTCTCTTCTTTCCCTCCTGATCTCATAATACTCATAAATATTTTGCTTGATTTTTCAGAATCTAGACCATAAAATGATATTCAGTCATTTCTGACAAATTCCTAATTTACAGGCAAGATATACCTCTTCTTTCTGAAAAAAATACACGATCTACTGGTATATATATGAAATTACAAGATTCTATCACACACCTAGACTAATAGTTCCATGTGTAACCATGTTTATGTTATTTCCCCCCTTCCCATGTGCCTTGTTTTTCTCAATTTATCTAACTTCAGGCTTCAGCCCTTTGATTATGATATGCCTTTACCTGTTAAATATCCTTATGGTTTCAGAAGTCATATCAATGTACAAATTTAGGCTATCCTTAACTCTTCTCCTGAAAAACAAGATGGACTGAGGAGCTTTTGGTTTGTGTTATTTGTTTTTCACTACAAAGCAGTGTTGTTTCATGGCGGTTTTTTTGTTTGTTTGTTTTGAGTTTTTTTCTCTGGAACCATTCCTGCTTGCTAAAATCAATTAGAAACCAGAATGCTTGGATGGTAGAAGCTAACATAATGGCATGGTTATACCACCAATACCATATAAAGTAGTAACACAGCTACATTACTCCTACTTAATATTTATTACTGTTAAGCCCCATCCTTTTTAAGGCACCACAGTGTGCCTGAAGCTATCATTACCTCTCTTAAAGACTTACAGCTTTCCAAAACAGTGTATATCACTCAGTAAACTTAGCCTTGCAGTGTTTGCTCCTGCAAGTGTAACCTTACATTTGATTTCACTGTATCACCTTTTTCCTGGGCAATCTAAATGACAGTATAAAAATTGACATGTAATTATTTCCTACTCAATTATTTCCATGTCAACAGCAAGCTATTCACAGTGTTTTCTAGCTGAGGGAAGCCAAGCCGTATGCTCAGTTTAATGATGTTTATCTAGAGGTAATGTGATAGCTTTGCAGCAAGCCAGCTGAGTCATCTCCAGATTTTAAGGGAATGTTCTATGTAGGAACATTATTGTTTTGAAAATTTGAAAACTGTAATGGGAAAAGTAAGAGAGAAACAAGTTTTGAAGTTGTTTAGCAATGACTTGCCTAAATTTTGACTATTTATATTTCAGAAACTACTTGAGCAGTCATTAGTATCATTCAGACCTGCTCTCTCTCATACAAGGTGCATTAAGACCATGCTTGCATATCTGATTTATGTGAAAACACAGTCAAATTCTAATGGCAGTTGGATGGAGGCCGTCAAAAACTACTATAGATACATTTGTACAGTCCTTGTTTGTGAAGGACAAAATAGGTAGTCACAATAAATATTAATGCTTTAGATTTATTTAAAAATCTATCTTATGGGTGGCACACATATGTGAAGAAAGTACACATATTTTCAAAACATCAATGTAGTGTGTTACTTGTTTGAATGCTGCCAAAAGTCAGCAAAACTAAAACCCAAATGGAATAAACCCTGCCAATATCACCTGCAATGGCTAGTGCTTCAAAGGTGATGGGCGTAAAACTGCACCTGAGCAAAGATGGTGGTGGATGCAGCGACAGTCACAATATAAATGTTCATATATTGGAAGATGTTTAAAAAAACCCATATAGAATGTTAGAAAATATCACACACTAAGAATGTTATTTAAAAAAAGCATAATAACAAAACTGAACTGATTTCTGAAAGACTAACAAGTGTAAGTTGATGCTGTAGAAAACAAGGTAAAACACACCTGCTTGATGACCAATAAGATTAGAGTCTCAATGCAAGCGGAGACGATGCTCAAACATGATAAAGTTGAACTGATACCTAGTATAACAAATAAACTGAAAATAAACAATTGATGAAACCAGGTAACAGAGGGAGCAAATTAAGCAACTACAACAGAAATACTTTACCAGTGTAGGAATACTGGTATGGTATACTACCAAAACAGTAACATAGCTACAGCAAATCAGGTCTTGAAAGCCTCCAAGAAGGGAGGCTACAAACTTTCCAGACAACCTGCTCTGCTGCTGGACTGTCCTCACAGTGAAGAGGTTTCTCCTCATATCCAGCAGGAACTTCTTTCATTTCTGCTTTTGCATACTCGCATCATGTACTTCCAATAGCTCAGATTCATTTTTCTGGATGACCTCCTCCTATGCATTAGAAAGCTGCTATTAGGTGTCCTGAAGACTTCTCTTCTTCAGGCTGATCAAACTCCTGTTTCATGCCATAAAATACCCTCCTGTAATAACAATTATACTGACACAGAAAGCAAGATCCTTGAGGCTTTATTTGCTCTACATCTTTTATGTAGCCAACATAGAACAAACAATAATTTTGCTATAAGTTCACCTGGGTACATATTTTCAACTCTCCTTCATGCCAGATTGCATTCAGAGTTTTATTTTGAATGACTGAAAATGTGCTTTGTGAGATATCTTGGTGTTCTCTGCCTCTACAAAAAAGGTATGACCTGTGCAACTGATTCTTTCGTGTGTTGCCCCTTTCCACTCTTAAACTTTGGGGACATTGAGTGCATTATAGCAGTCACCTTTTTCTTTGGTGAATTAAGAAAGCAAATGATAACAGCAAAGAAACAGGAGCCATAGATTCCTGTTGGAATCAATGGATAACAATGGATAGTTTATTTTTAATATAAAAGCATACATACACAAAAAATAAATACAAGTATTAATTATTTAAGTGAACACTTGCCTTGCATCATTTTACACAAAATCTCCACACTTCTAGCTATTTCACATCAAAAAATACTGTTATCACTTTTTAGTAAATGCTAGAAAGGATCTCAAGATTTAATCATCCAGAACAGTAGAACTTGTTTTGCATTTGCTTATTAGATAAAATATTAAATTACTACCATATATTATTGTGTTGAAGATCTTATATGATAAGAAGCAAACTCCCTCCAATTTCATAGAATTGTTCAGGTTGGAAAAAGACCTTTAGATCATCAAGTCCAATCATTAGCCTAACCTGGCCAGGCCATCACTAAACCATGTCCCTAAGCACCACACCTACACATCTTTTACACACCTCCAAGCATGGTGACTCTGCTACTTCCCTGGGTAGCTTGTTCCACTTCAATAAGGTTAAAATACAATGTAAATATATGAAATAATAAAAGAAGATAAATGAGAACTACATTTATACAAATATGCACTGTTTCTATAAAAGGGAGAGCTAAATAAGACATAGGAAAAAAACACAGAAATCATCACTTCCATGGCTATTAAGTGGTTGCATGGCATTTCAGGTATTAAATCAAAAATTAATGGCAAGAGGTATTTTAAGCCATGGGTGATGGCTCTGTGGACTGGCTTATGAAAGATATTCCATATTTTAATAGGCTGTGTCAAACAGGGGGACAGATTCTAACAAATGAACCAAGCATTTCAAAAGAAAACAAAATGGTTGCTGGAGTATGAGAATGAGAACAGACACTGAGGCCTGTCAGTACATAAAAGAGACAGGACTGTACAAACTCTTACTGGCTTGTTTGTCATGCAGCAAATAAGGGACCAGTAGAGACTGGAAGATTAAAAGATCAGTATGACTAGATTTAACATGATTTTTCATCTCTTATTTCAGAATGCATATGCTACAGCTGAAAATATAGGAAATAATGTTTTAGATAAGTTATAGTTTTAGGTAAGTTAGTCATACAATAACAGAAAAGGATTCATTCATGAATATATAATAGTGAAGAAACAGCAAAATTTAGGTATGCTGTAGTGTGCATACCTACAGAAATGGAAATTTTTATGATGGCACTGAATTATAGGTTTGAACGCTTTGGAAAGCAATGGTGCTATCAATAGTGACAGAGCTTGCCAGACAAAGGGGAAGATTTGGAACAACCCTTCTTAGTTTCAAAAAACTGGATTTACTTTGAAGTTGATATATACTTAACTACAATAACAACAAAAAAAAAATCACTCCCATATTACAAACCAACTCCTTCAGTTGCTATGCTAAAAATTCTGTGGAAATGAGAAATTTCTCGAAGTAAGGACGTGAAGATTTGGCTTCTACTGGGATCTCTGGCAAATCTCTCGTTGACTGCATCAGGCACAGAAACGATTTTGGAGAACTGCACCAGGAGAGCCCTCTGCTGGGTGAAAGAGGAAAATACCCCCAAAATACCACCTGCCAAGAAAGACTCCTGCCGTTTGAACTGGATTTTTACATCTAATATTGTAGTGGTTTCGAATTACTAATTACAATTTATTTCTCTGAATCACCTATTACAAAATGGTGAGCTTTGACATCACTCCTCCTTTATAATTACCTTCCGTGTTTCACTGATGATTATTTAGCTGCAACCCCCCGAAAAAGCAGTTCACTTGCAGAAAACAAATGAAATAAGAAGAATATGTTAAACTAAATCTTTGTCAACAACACAAGAAAAATTGTTACAATAACATGCATCCATCTCTGCAATTTCTATTAATGGAAACAGGAAACATTAAGTCTTAAAAGTAGCTTGAAGCTTTAGCATTCCTTTGGGTCTTGTAAAATAAACATTATAGACACCAAAACTTTTAATATTGAATAGATTCTGAGATTGCTCCTCACTATGTACATTCATGGGTCAGACTCTGCACAGTTTGTGTATACTCCGTGTCTTTTAACTCCAGATGTTTAAAAATCTTTTGTCCCAGGACACAGGCAGAGATCAATTTTTGGTTGTATCCATATTCACTAAGAACCAAGTAATACATGATCCACATGGTTAAAAATCAGACATTTGAGAAAGGACAGAAATAGCAGAGAGTAAAATAATTTGTTCTTCTGTCAAGGCAAAACTAGAGATGTAACTGCTGCCTATGCCACTACTGATCAAAAAGACCTAAAAAAAAACCCTTCAAAGTCAGTAACCATAATCTCGCTCCATTCCTCCTCTCTATGAAACTGCTTTGTGTTACTGCCCTACTATTCAATAGTATAGAGGAGAACGATTTCCTTTGCATTCTCCAAGATGTTATCTTCGGTTTAAATACAGTTGCCACCTGAATGGCATTAATCACCTGTTTGTTCAGGTAAGAAGTGGCTCTCGGTACCTTTCTCGTCCAACCTTCTGCTCAAAGCAGGGTAACAATGACTCCAGACCTAACTGCTCAACATTTTTCCAGTCAAATCTTGTAAATCTCTAAGAATGGAGGTTACACAACCTATATGAGCTATCTGCTCTACTGCTTAATTCTCTTTAATTTTTTTTTCTTCCATACCTACTCAGATCCTCCTATTTCAATTGATGTCTGCTGTCTCTCCTCCTACCATACACCACTGACTCCATCATCTAGAAAACCTCCCCGCCAGCCTGCTGTTAGGGGCCCCAATCCATCTATTCCCCTAGCTGGACACCTCATCTCACCTCACAAAGCAAGTGCTCCAGACCCAGACATCCTGGTGACCCTCCCCTGAACTCATTCCAGTTTATCAATGTCCTTCTTGAACTGAGGAAATCAGATTCATCAATTGTTTCCTTTCACATGGAAGCATTAAGCTTACATTTTTGTCTCATTCTGAAATACAAAGGGAACTTCTGTGCTCCTAGGTACAGGCTTAAGGCCTATTTTGTTGGTTATAGATGAGACTGTATCACTCACTACAATATAAAATCACCACTCCTGGGCTGCTAGGCAGCCCTTAAGTTCAGGATTCTTTATTCAGTCCATATGCTAGGTTTAAATAATTAAGTGGCTTTGAATCAGTCTTCTGGGCCAGAAGAAATTCACCTTTATCGTGATTACTCTTTTAACTCGTCAGATGATCAAAACCCTTGTTGGCAGCCTAAGAACAGGTATACTGAGCTGGGCTATCTGAAGATAACTGGAATGACTGAAAGACTGTGCAGCTTCCTATACTGACCTTTCAGCACCAACAGCAAAAGCTTCAGAAAACAGGGAAAGCTGAAGAAGCTCCCCTTGCAAATCCTGACCATTTCTGGCACTCCCCTGCTTAGGGAACTTCTCAGCTGGAGGATGCTTCTTTGACAGAGTGCTTAATACTGCCTGACAGATCTCTCATCCATGAATTTCTCTATTAATTTTTAAACATGCACACTCTTGGTATTCAAATCATCCTAATGTAAGGACATCCATCTTTTAAATTGTATGAATAAGTCTCTTTCTAAGCAAGCTGCTTGTTAATCTATATATGCCCAGTTTTCTTGGTACAAGCATGACTAATTGTTCTCTATTCACTGTTCTTCATGCCAGTCAGAACTTTCAAAATCCAATCATTTCTCCTTGAGTAGCATCTTTTCCAAGAGAGTGATTCCAGATTATTTAATTTCTTTCTTTGCATAGAAGCCAATCCTTACTTTGTTTGTGCTCGTCCTCCTCTAAACTATTACAAATTCTGTATCTCTTTTTGACATGGATGTCAAAACAGCTCACTGTTCACAAAGTGCAATGATGATTTGGTTGTCTATTCCCTTCCTATTACTATCTTTATTTGCCCTTTTGACTGCCTATGAAGTATCATTTTGTCAAAAGTTAAACTTATTGGCAGCTTTGCCATTAAATTCAGGGTGCCAGAATTTAAGCTATTGCTTTGCTTATTCTTCATTTAGTTTCCTCAGTCCATCCTGGGAAAATCTTTAAACCTCTTCCTTCCAAGTTTATGCCTTGGTTGCAGTTTTCCCATGTACAGAAGATCATAAGTATGTATAAATAATTCAGGACAAATATGTAGACAACAGTCCTATAGATGTTCTAATATGATCAAGCATTTGGTTCATTATTTGACTAGTATCATGAGAAAAACCTGAGTAAATCTGTTTATATTCTGACTGAAAACATCAGGTGGAAAGTTTCAGGGGAATACAGCAGTTCACATATTTTTGTATAAGGATGTTCACACATTTCTATTGTGGGAGTTAAATTGGTTTTGTTCTTTTCAGCTCATACAGAACTGTAATTTACATACATAACAGCTTTTAATTATTGAGAGTTTTTTAAAATAAAAAAAGAAAAGAAAAGAAATACATTGACCTTGAAGGCTTCTAACAACTTTTACAGGCCATTAAAAATAATGTTACTGACTTACACTCCCTATTCTCCTGGAGAAATGAATCACCTCTTCTGCTCTCTGACTCCTTTTTTAAAAATCTGGTTTTGTTGAATTAAACAAACTGAGGAACAAAACAGAAAAGAACATCCATAAACATTATTTTGCAGTTTTTAGTAATGTATTAAAAGAACCAGCACTCTAAATTCCTCCATAGATTAATTCTAAATTTCAAATTAAATTATTGATTTTTAATTTTTAATTGTTTACTTTTATTTTACTAATGCCTTTTTCCCTGTCTGCTGCTGTGGTCTGAGGTTGATGTTTGAGGCATCCCTCCCCATGGCAGGGTGTTGGAACTAGATGGTCTTAAGGTCCTTTCTAACAAAAACCATTCTAAGATTTGAGTAAGCATGTCACAATCTTTTAAAAGATGATCTCTCTTCCAAATTAAAAAAAATGCCAAAAAGCCAACAATAAAAAGAAAAAACCAAACAACTACCACAGGAATAAAAGACACACACACCTTAATGCACAAATTAGTTAGTCCTCTCCATCTTGTGACAGTTCTATGCTTTTGTAAAGAATTTACTAGTGCCAGACTATAACAGGTTTTTCTTTGCATGTTAGAAACTCCTGTGTTCTAGGGACTAGGCTTTGCATAAGACCATGATCCACTTTAAATACATGAATTATTAAGTATATCAATTATACAAATCAATACATAATTATTTCGTAGAATTTATTGTAAAACAAACCGGTGGCACAGAAAGCCTATCTATAACTTCAAAAAATGATGACTCAGCCTTTGACTTGTGTTCTCTGAAGAATAGCCTGCCAGTGCTGATGGGTGTGCTAGGAGGAACACCAGCGTATGCTGACCTGTTTATAGATGCTTTCCCTAAATTCCACTAAATATTGAGAAAACATTTTGAGAAGTTATAGGTGATTTTCATCACACAAGTTTAAGGGCTTGAAAAAAACCACACAAATAGTCATAATTGCCTATGGTTAATTGCACGTAATTGTACAGTACCAGGTCCAGTGAGTTCTGTGCCACAGGTAGTACCAGATTCTAAGCCACATCAGACAAGGAGCAATTAGACCATTATATGTTCTGTCAAACAGTGCTAAACCCAGTTGCAAT